GAGGGCGTTAGCTGGGGGGTGTGGCGGGGTTCCTTTTCCTTCTGTTCTGTCCATCCCGAGCGGTTGCTGGGGCGGAGAGCGCTGGAACAAGAGCGGGAGAGGAGCGTTACGAGGCTGGCCCTGTCCCAGTTGCTTGTCAGCAGCAACGTCCTTCGCTTCTGTGGCACCTCCGGGTGTTTTTGGTGCCGGAGGGCTCGGCAGAAGGTGGCTGAGGAACAGCAGCGCTCCTGCCCGAGCGGCTCTGGTGGATGCAGCAGCCCTCGCCACCCCTGGAAGGAATTTGGGTGTTAGCAGGAGGGACAACTGGAGGTTTGCAGGAATTCGAGGATGGGGCATTTCCCAGCCGGCTGCGCTCGGAGCGGGATGGGGCTCCTGTCCCGGGGAGCTGCTCCCCCACACCCCATCCTCAGGGCTCTGCAAGGGCCGTGATAAGGAGCAAAACTCCCTCCAAGCTCCGTGTTCCCTGGCTGCTGTGACCTGGGAGCCGGGAATCTTAGACCCCGTGTCCTGCATCGCCCCATCCCCAGGGCTCTGCGAGGGCCATGGTAACCAGGAGCGAAACTCGCTCCAACCTCCGTGTTCCCCGGCTGCTGTGACCTGGGAATCTTAGACCCTGTGTCCTGCATCCTCCCAGCGGCATTTCTAACCTGGGAACGGACACATTTGTAACCCTGACGATTAGCGCTTCCATCAGCAGGGTTTGCAGAGTGATAACCCTGCTGTAACGAGCATTAAGTGCTGATCTTGTCTGTGCCTTCAGCGCACGCAACGGGATAAGAAAATCTGGGAACAAGGCACTCCCCAAACTGGCACCCGAATGCTGCGCAGCCCCCCAGGTCAGCCTTTTGGCTGCTCTTCTCACCCACAGCTCCTCCCAGAGAGAGGAAAAAACCCCAAAATAAAACCACCCCGGCTTTGTATCCACTGCTGAAACTCCGAGGCTCCCCTTGCAGGCAGGTGGGAGAGGCGGGAATCATGGAGGAGGCGCCCAATATCTGGGTTACCAGGAGGCATCCTTGTGCTCTTACTGGGAGAGCAGGCAGGAGCCCAGTTCAGCTCCAAACACACCCAATCCCGCAGCAGGAGGGAGAGGACCAGGCTCAGCCTGACATCAGGGACTGTCTATGACTCCCCCCTCCCGGAGATGATCCAGGGAAGACCAACATTCCCTTCAGCAACATCCCCTCCTGCTACCCAGTTTGGGATGAGCCCCCCCAGGCTCCCCCAAACTTGGGTAAATCCCACACTCCCCCAAACTCGGATGGGGATAACCAACCTGCAGGGAGGGAGGGGTGAGGAAAGGGGACTGGGATGGGAGCAGGAGCTCCGCACTATCCCGTGGTGCCCAGTAAAGAGCGGCAACAGGTTTGGAGCATTTCCAGCTGGGTTTCAATCCCATTCCCACACGCAGCTGGAACTGTTCCCTGTCGCATCCTGAAGCGCTGCACTATCCGTCCTGCCGCCGGGTCTCTCTCTGGGAAGTGGCAGATTTTCCCCTCTGATAACACACGTCTCCATCTGCTTCCCGTTAGCAGCCCCGGCTGAGGCTAATTGGCAGATCAAACCCTCCGACATCCCGCGTTAGGGACATCGTTACCGGTGTCCGGAGTGAGGACGACGCTTCTCGGACGGTGCCCAAACGCCTTCCTCTGCCACCCTGGGCTGATGCAAACCACCCGGAGCAATCCAAGGGCTGGGGGGGGTGATGAGCCGGCCCCAAAGGCTCAGCTTTACAGCAAAGCGGTAAAACCGGGGCAGCGCGGGCCCGTTGGGCCGTGGGGGGGTAGATGGGAGAGGCGGAGGATGCGGGACCAGCACAGCCACAGCCACCTCCTTGTTTAGCACCGCGGATGGATGCTTCTGGCTTTCTGGGCAGTGAAAATATTCCCCAAACTGAGCGGGAGCAGCAGTGACCACGATGATGGAATTGTTGATGATGGGCTGCCCGGATGTCAGCCCAGCACCTCATCCCAAGGGCGATGGGGGGACCCAATTCCCTCCCCGTGAGCCCAGCACACAGACCCTGAACCCTGGGGAGGTGCTCCATGGCACAAGGTGGGGTTGGAGGAGAGCCCTCAGCCCCCCCAAGGAGTCAGTAAACAGGGTTTAAATCCTCGCACCAGGCAGCGAGTGGAAACACCACACTTGGGAGACTCGACCGGAGCCTCTCTACATCCCAGGAAACATCGAGGTCCCTGCAAAGCCCCAGAGGGTGGGGGACATCCCCTAAATCGGGGCGGTGCTCCGCAGCAACCATGCCTGGAAAGGGGCTGGAGCATGGCTTGCCATCCTGCTTTGTGAGCTCCGACCACTGCTTCCCAGTGGGAAGAGGAGGTTGGGAAACCTCTGGGAAACCACACGAGTGCACATAAGCAACAGGTTTCTGCAGATGGTGAATCAGGATCCAAGCCCGGAAAAGCAGCGCCCACCCGACGGCAGATCCTGCAGCCCGAGCCACATCCCTGCTCCAGAGGGGCACGGCCCCGGGTACCTTTACTCTCCCCTCTTCCCATCCCAGGATTTTGGGCTTAAGGATTTGGGGGCCTATTTGCTGGCAGGGGGGAGGCTGCGCCCCCTTCCTGTGCCCCTCTTTCAGCAAGCTGCTTTGGGGGAGACTTTTAAGGCTCCCTCCCTTCCCAGCCTGCCCGATTTCCTCCTGAAAACCCTACAGACAGTGTCCTGGGGCAGATTTCCTGCCCCACCAGTGTCTGGGGCTGGAGACTAAATACTAAACAAAACCCAGGGGGATGGTTTTACCTTTTGTTGGTGCCAAGGGGGTGGTGGGTAAGTGTTTCCGAGTCGAGGGGTGGGAGTTCACCTTGTTTCCCAAGGAGAGACCGGAAGAAACTGGTGACATGGATGCTATGGGGGTGAAGGGCCCCATAGGACTCAGGGAAGGGCCGGGGGTGGCTGTGGGATCAAGGGAATATCTTACCTTAAGGACGGCCCCAAGCCAAAGCCCAGCTTTACAAATCCCCTTAAGCTCTGCTTGTGGGAGAACTTCCCAAGGCTGAAACCTTCCGGGACCCCCACGGTGCCGGTGAGGGGGTCTGCGTGACGATATTCAGCCATGGCCCGTGTCTCACTATGTTTCCATCCCTTGAAAAAAAGGTATGAGGAGGAGAAAAGAGACACAGGGGAGAAGGGGGTGGCAACAGAAATTAAAACACGCTACGCAGGGCAGCCCCAGAAATCCTGAGCATCCTGAGCAGACAGTTTCCTAGGGGGATGGAGACCCCCTTGGCCTGGATTTTCTCTTTCTGCCTTATATTCCTTCTCCCCTCTTGCCATTTCTGCCTGAGGCTTTGCCTCCTCTGCCTCTTGGATGGTTTGTGGCTTTGGGAGAGCAGGAAAACCCTCAGGGGTCCGGGGAGGAGGTGTTTGCAGTACAAGGACTTAGCGGCAGATGGTGGTCTTTATCCCGTTCTCCGCAGACAGGGAAAACCAGCGATCCCACAACTTCCACCCGGCTGCAGGACTGAGGTCACCCGTGGGGGCTTGGGACTGAGAACCTGTGGGTCCCCAAACTGGGCACAGTGACCGTGGGGCTGGGTTGGGGGACGAGAGGGTGGGTTTAAATCGGTGGAGGGAAAGGATGGAGCTGCAGGGTTCAGCTGGAGAGCTGGACTTTCCCACAGTGCAGATGGGAGAAGGCGAGGAAAGAAACACCGACCCGCAAGGAAGAGGAGAGGGTCTGAGGGTCCCGGCCCCGCTCGACAAACAAACAGTGGTTTTAAGGGCTGTAGCAAGCGCCCGCACCCTCCGTCCCCTCCAAAAATGCTGCAAAATCACGGGGAGTCTTCTAATATTTAGCATTTTTGCTAAAGCCCCAGGTCCTGGAGTCATGAGAATGCAGCGGGATGTCAGCTTCCAGCTAAAATAAATAAAGAGGGGATTCACATCCCTGGGGCTGATGGGGCAAAGCCGGGAGATGCGACTTCCCCTCCTTGGGGCCGGAAGAAAATCCTGGAGAACGAATAAAGGGACAGGGAGGCAGAAAGCCCCCCCCAAACCCCCCCATCTCCCTTGCACAACCACGCTGCTCAGCAAGCAATTAAAAACTGCGGGATCCATCCCCCCGGAGGGAGCACCCTCCTTCCCAGGGCATCCGAGGACACCTGGTTCCCTTCCTCCCAGGCTAGGGCGCCTCTTCCCCGACCCTTGGAAGCACGAGTTGGCCCTGGGGCTCCGCAGCTTTGGCCAGGGGGGCAAGGATCATACCTAGCCCAGCGTTTCCCACTTTACCCCAGGGAGGGCTTGTCTGGGAGCCTGAATTATTTTGGAGCCAGGCTGCTTGAGAAGGGGAACAGGTGAAGGCGCAGGCAGAGCCTGGCTCGACATCTCTCTCCTCCTCCGCTTCTCTGGGGAAGCCCCCCCAGGAGATAAATTACTTGCTGCTGTCTGACAGCCCCGAGGTTGGCTCGGAAGGCGAATAACAGGAGTTTCTGGCAGCAGCAGAGTTGGCCCAGGGCGGTTTGGGATTAAGAGCAAACTTTTGCATCTGCCAAGCGTCTCCCTC